CAGAAGGAAGGTTGGGCAATCCTACTTCCGTAGTGATACTGCCTCGGAAACCCAAGGAGGGGTCGCTATGAGTCGGGGCCGACTCGACGGCACGTAACAACAACAACAACAATATATTTCTAATGAAAGCTGTTCATTCATTTACCCTCCCATATTTGCATTTAGCATAAAAAATTGAGCACTTATTATGTGCAAGGCTCTGTGCTGTACTGCCTTAAATATTTGTATATAAGTAATAAGCCCCAAATGGTTTAATCTTTATTTTAAGAGAATGGGTTGCTGACATGCTAGTGTTGTTATCCAAAGGGTATGGACACCAAATGTTCAGTTCCTACCAGCTCAGGACCCCCATCTTCATCGAAGTCCTCCTCTATCCCATCAGTCATCTCTTCTCCATCCGCATCTGGCCCTCCTTCAGCAGGCTCCTCTGTAGAGTGATCTGCATTCTCTGACACACACTCGTCTTGAGTCAGCTCTATACTCTCTTCCAATTGCTTCTTCTGAGCTTCTAGGGGGGAAAAAGCAAATAACTACTACCTTGGGTTGCTCATGAACTATGTGGATAAACTATGAAAAAAAAATTTCCATGAAAACGTGACACCTAACATGCTGCACTGTTAAGGGTGTGAAGCAGGTAAGGTAATATTATGCCTTCAGTTTAATTTATTTAATCATGCAAATTATGTACATACATTTATGTACATTTGCAAGTAAGCATATTCATTTTTAATGGAATTAGCAAAAGTTAGGAAGTCCAGATGGAGGTATTACATAAATAAATCAAGATTTGCATATAGATTGGTCTCTGGCCATTTTATCTTAGAAATAATCCTTCACAATAAGGATATTCTCTCTGAGAGAAAATAGAACAAAAACAAAGGGCAAAAATCACGCATAACATAGACATTGTCACTCTAGGAAGGATGATGAAGATAGCTCATTGACAAATTCAGCTCTAACTGAAAAAAACAAGGAAAAGTCCACAGAGGAAAAAAAATGGAAAAGGGACATGTTGTCTTTCAGAAGAAATGTCTATTGGAACAATCCTTTGAAATTTCAAAGGTTAAGTTCTTTAGATGCAGTTAGGTGCGATGGTTAAGAGCGTGAACTCTGGTGTCAGAGAACCTGGGTTCAAAGTTGAGCTTGCTCATTTACTAGCTTGGTAACACTGTGCAAAGCAGAAGGGATCAACTTTCCCTTTGCCTCAGTTTTCTCATCTATGAACGTAAGCTTACTACTTCCTAACTTTCAGGGTTTTAAGTGGTAAACCAAAATGTTTAGTGTGTTGTTGCTGTTGTTATGTGCCATGGAGTCGGACCCGACTCATAGCGACCCCTCCTAGGGTTTCCGAGGCAGTATCACTATGGAAGTAGATTGCCCAACCTTCCCTCCGAGGAGTGGCTGGTGGGTTTGAATGCTTAGTATAGTGATTTGCAAATAATAAGTGCTCAACAAATGAAGCTACATTCTACATAAAATTCTATATAGAATTCCCTCTAATTGTCAGGATCTGTGCATTCCATTTACAGAAAGCTAGTCATACACCACAGTCATGTCAATAACATAGTAACCATTTCCTTAGTGAGAATGTCAAGAAACATTGGATGTAAATAAATGGTATCATCTGATGTGCATACTTCCTTAACTTATTCCCATTTCGTTCACAACTGTCTCAAAAGCTGGGTAATTTTCACTGATTTTGACTATTGTTAATATATTTTATCAGATGATTAATCCATCATTTGAATTGGATTTTTAAATGCTATATTTTGAGCTTCTTTGTTTATATTTTGTGTCAGTAAAAGATAATATGGAGATATCCTTACCTATAAATTGTTTAAAATTATAAGAATAATAGCATCTCTATATAAATGTATGTCTATGTGCTTTTGTATTTTAATTTTCCAAATAGAAAGTTTATGTATTGAAAATAGACTGGACGGTAAGGGGATGCCCTGGTCCTGCTGTCAGAGCACAGGATTCTAGTCCAAGCTTAGTTACTTACCAGCAGAATTAAGCATTGGATTTGAATCTAAGCTTTGGGGCTTGGTCAAGTCATTTAAACTCATTAAGTCATCCTTTCCTCATATAGATTGATTGATTGATTGATAGATAAATAGTATATACCACCAGAGTTTGCAGGTGGATTCAAATGTTTTGCAAAGTATAAAGAACTGCATAAATGTGTATTATTACATACAAAAGGAGACAGTATGCCCCTCATTGTGAATATTTCAAAACAGCAACAATAATGATTTGAAAATGGTAACTAAATAACATAATTCTCTATACTTGTCAGGTTCTGTGCAGTCCATTTGCAGAAAGTACTGGGATGGGAATTATGCCAAGAGCCATACTAGCCAATGTGACTATTTAGGGATCATTGAAGAAGTGAGCACCAAACTTGAAGCCTGGTCTACTCAGGGGTGGGTGGGTGGGGGAACTGAAAACTCTGTGGGGCTGAGGTTTTGTTTTAGAGGAGGATAAAAGTTGGCAGAACCAACCAACACTAAAAATCATCACTATGGGTCTCTTAAAATGACCAAAACCTAGACTGCATTTCTTCACATTTATTTCACATGCACATATAGATATAACCTATACATTCCTTGATTTTTTTTTTCCCTATCAATTTATTAACTTCAGGTTTCTCCATGTAACAATAGAACTAATAACACTGAGGATATAAATTTTGGTTTTAAAGCTATACTTTTTATCTTCAGATGTATATATGAGGGTTGCTATGAGTCGGGGCCGACTCGATGGCAAATAATAACAACAACAAAAATGGAAGCAAGCAAAGTATCATATATTCTTCCCTTTTCTCTGATTTCTTTGTAACTATTAATATATTAAGTCTTATGAAGAGCATATAATGATATTTTAAAATTTAACCAAGATTATTTTTTTTCTAAATCAAGATAATTATCATCCAAATTAAGTCAGGAAGTAAGGAGCTAAAGAAGAAAAATGGTTTAATCTAGAGAAGATGACCAAGGTACATACATTAAAAGGAAGACAAAGTAAGCAAGAGATGTAGGCCAAAAATATCCTCAATGAAACACTTGCTGAAGATTATTCATCTTCCTCCACATGTCATTGCCCTCTAGAATTCTAGACCTTTGTCCTAGGCTGACCCACCCACACACGTACGATCAGCACCCAGTAAGCTGTGGTAACCAGTATAGTTTGAGAACTGAAATGTTTTGAATCCTCTGATTTTAATTCCACCCCACATTCTGCCATCTATTATTCCTGATCCTTTGGATCTCACAATAAATTTGGCCCCTCTGTCTTTGACCCTTCACTGTTTCTCCTAAGAGTGCCTTTATATTTATTATCTGGTCCCCTAACTTCTAGCCGCTGGAGGTCACCATGCTGTTTGTTCAAAATGCCCTGGCTCTTAAAACTTGGTTTTGGTATCCCAAGAAAGAGGGGGAATGGAGGTTTGGAATCAATTATTATTATATACAATTAAAAAATATCTCAAATCTTACAATTTTCCTAAATCCAAAACTTTCTTAATTTTAGGTCATTGTGTTTTACCCTTTTGTTATATCAGATAAATGAACTTTAGTTTAAGATTGATGTTATACTGTGAATTCTTTCATTTTGTCTGGCATATTTATTTTTTCTCTAATAATTTCAGAAATATTTGCTTTCTAAGAACTTCCACTTTTTTATGTTGAAGGTAATATTAATTTTCTTTTTCTCTCTAGAAAAATCTCTGGCCAAAGAAACAATAGATTTCAAGGAATTGGTGCACAACCAGACTTTAAAGTTATGTAGTTCCACTCGTCTGGCTCAGTGTATCAATTTGCTTTAGTTATCTTTAGAGTCTGAGCTTACTTTTCTGATCCTCCCGGCTGAATGCGATCCCCCTTCTTCTTTGCTCATCCAATGATCTGATCAAATACTACCTTATAGTTATTTCTACTGCTGTCTTCTCTTTTTCTCCTTTGTCTTTACACTTTGTGGAAATTTGAGCCATTGTCTCACAATGTCATGCACACTCAAAGGGGAAAATATATCTGGCAATCTTTTGGGAACTGAAAAGCACAGTGCAAATCAAACAGTTGTCAGGAAACATTTTGATGTGTTCTATACCCCTCACTTAATGCATTACATGCAGAAGAGATAATATGAGGTATTGGAAAGGACACAGGATTTGGGATTCATGCTTCTCCTAATTACTAGTCTCATTAACTATAGTTTTCTTTAAAACAAGGGCATAAAATAACAGCTCCTTCAGGGAGCTGCTGTATGCGTAAATGAGGAAAAAGAGGTGAATGTGTGTTTAAATTGTAAAGGCCATACAAACATGTTCCTGTAAAAGGCAGGAAATATTTCTTGAATTGAACCATATTGATTACCTGACTGCCACAGTAAAACTGCCTATTTCTCAATCATTCATCACTATTGATCAATAAGAGTCACATGCTGTAAGATAATTTTGGCTTTGACATGGCATCTTCATTTCTATGTTTAGACAAACAAGGTTATAAATTACTTTCTTTCTTTCTTTTTTTGTATTAACATAAAAAATACATCTAGCTGGTCTGATGGCCTATCCCAAAGGCAGTGGTATATTACTACAGTACAAAGAAAAAAACGTAACATATCTTCATTCGTTCAGTCATTAACTTGAAAGGTAAATGTTTGGAAGACATTATCTGGGCTGAGAAAAAAGCTTTAATTGAAATGGTAATCGATTTGTAGGAATTTAATGGAAACACAATCACTCTGTGCTTTAGTAATATGTAGTCATCACAGACTTTTATCATCACCTCAACGGGAAATGTTATAATCACTAAACAGTGACAGATTCCATTAATAAAATTACACATGAAAGCATATCTTGTTGATTAAGCTGTTGGTTCACAATTTATCAACCAGTTTTGATCCAGCAATCATTTTGTTGAAATAGAAGGAAAACAAAGCAACTCATTCAATTTTTTGGAATAATTATCTAATTTTACTTCTACTAGAAATGAGTGATATTTTTCAGTTAATTTTCAACTTCATAATTTATCTTTACCTCCACACTTCTTATTCTATTTAGCACTTTTACTTTTCATTGTGAGTGTGTGAGTATGTGTGTGTGTGTGTGTGTACATCTATGCCTCACTATCAAAGGCCCTTTGGGGCAGAAAAACTTACTCATCTTTGTATCTCTGGTGGCTCACTCAGAGTCTTAGACACAAATTAAATCTTTGCTGAATTATTTATGAACTGTTGTGGAATCAAAGAATGAAAATAAATGTCTAGATGTCAAATTTTTTTCACAGAGTCAAAGTGATAGTTGAATTTGGCACCGAGGTGCCAAAACTATGAATTCAAGAAGAAGTTGAGAGAAATCTTGCCACCTTCTACTTGACGGCCCCTCATTACAATGTCAAAGCAGAATGTTGGGTCTGGGATTTTTCATAGAAGGAAACTGTTCATGTTTACGCTGACAGGTTTCCAAGAGAAAAATAACTGTGAAAGTGTTTAAGTGCTTATAGGGAG